ATGTCACTTGTTAGACGCTTTTATCCAGAGCGACTTACATACTCAATACTGTGGGCAATCCCCACAGGAGCAGTTTGGGGTGAAGTGTCTCAGGGACACAACGACATGCTGACTGCAGTGGGGTTTGAACCTGTGCTCCCCTGATCCGAACACCAACGCACTATTCCACTGTGCCACACGCCTCCCTCCCATTATGTTTTTTCTTTGACGATGGCCACTGTCCGTTGTTATAACATAATGATGGAACTTCTTTCAGTTTGGAACAAAGCATCCTTTGACTAAAGGATGAACTGATCATACTTGGTGGTCAAAGCTCTCCTTTATTGTGACGGGTACAATGGAGTGTTATTTATCACAGTACAGTAGCTATTGTTTAAATCCACACAAACAACAGGACCCTAAAGAGCCAGAGTCTGAACTAAACATAGAGAAGTTCACTTATTGTGCTCCAAACATCTGGACCAAGCTCCCAGAAACCTGCAGGTCCGCTGCAACGAAGACTACTTTTAAAGACTTGTCTTTTTGCCGCTGCTTTTAATTGAACTGTTTGTATGTTACGCTGCACTGTAACCTTTCTTCATGTATTTTTATGTTTATTTGATTCACTTTGCTTTTAAATGCCATTTTATAATGTGAATCCGCTGCACTATTTCTTAATGCTCTTTAGCACTTTGAATGGTCTTGTGTTGAAAGTTGCTATATAAATAACCGTGCCTTGCCTAAAAGCCAGGAAGGAGAGAGGGCTGAACCATTTCATAACAGACCTCATCCCTTGTGGAGTTGTGGATTGTAGTGATCCACCTGCACAGAGTAGTTACCTAAAGCAAAGCTAGCATCTCCTCTCTGATCAACTAACGTGTTTTCTGCCAACACCAAACTGCACACAGACACAGGTTGAGGATATCTGTTGAAACTGGACCAGCAGTATGGTGAACACAATACTATGAGTGCTTTTTGTTTCCCAAAAATAAATAGATCAATTAATGTTTGTCTTAATACGTGGTATTCATGTTTACTGTACTTTCATGATCACCAGTTAAAGAGTACATGTTGACATAAGAATGCTCCTGTGTTCATTGAACTTTGATGTAATACAATATTGGCAGATGAATTCAGGCAACTCTAGCAGAGAAGGAAAAACACTTCAAAGACCGATCATGTTTTTATTTTCTAACCCTTAATGTGGTCTCTCTCAGGGTATGGGGGGTCAGCACGGGTACTTCGGCTTGTGGCTGGACAGTGATTTTGGCCGTGGTCACAGCCGTGCACGGCCCAGGTGCACCACCTACGGCAGCCCCCAGCTGTCTGAGGAGGAGGACTTCAGCCTGGACTCTGTGGAGGTGTGGGCTGTGGGGAAGCCCCCAGAACCACAGGAGGTCAGAGGACATTCTTTCTTTTTCTAAGACAAAATAGAGGAAATAAAGTCAGGGGATAATGTGGTTTATCAGAACAACTGTTCAATTGATTATTTATCCTGCGAAAGTCATGAAGGAGCCATTCTTCAGTAGAAGAAGTCGGTGCAAGAGTGATTATCTTATCTGTCCTGTATTTCCCTCTCACTCTGTTTCTGCTTTCACTCCTGAATGACCCTACGTGATCAAGGTCCCTGTTATCTTATCTTACTTCTGGACTTTGTCAAAGTAATAATATGCAGAGGTTGATGCTGTGGGTGGGGACGGATGGAGCAGCAGCAGGGCCCTCTGCTGGGGGGTGAGGGGCTGGGGGACGGACGTGGGGGTGAAATAGGGAGACAGACACAGGCGCACTAATGGCTGCAGCATTTTCACAGTCAGGAGGAGCAGACCTTAGTATGACATATATACTTTATATTTATTTCTACAGTTTGTCATGCACTGAAGTCCATATTCAGTGGAATCAAAAGAAAGGGAATGAAGGAATCCAAAAGAGAATGCAGAAGCTCTGATCTGGTTTATGAGTGACAGGTGAAAGACACAGGTTTGGCCAGGATAAACATTCTTCTTCCTTATTTCTTTATTTTCCATTTTGTAGAACAAGTCGGAATGAAGTATTGTCAGATCCCTTTTTAGATGAAATGTTTTGAATAGTTGTATTCATTTGAGCCACAAGAGGCTTATGTACCTTAGTTCCAAACTGAAAACAAAATGTCTCTGCACAAGCTTTTCTCCTCTTGTTTTCACAGATCAAAAATAAATGGTTGTCCATGCCACTAAATCCTTTTCAAACATTTGATTTGACCTTTATTCTCAAACGTGTGTAAAGTCAGAAACAACAAAGAGAACACAGTAGAGGTCAGTTTTCCTTTCTTGCCTCTTTGGGCCTCCATAGCAGAACATCAGGCCTGTGACTGCCGGCACCACCTATAGGGCCTCTGTGGGCCTCCATAGCAGAACATCAGGCCTCCATAGCAGAACATCAGGCCTGTGACTGCCGGCACCACCTATAGGGAACACTTGAGATATCTCTGTATTTGTTGTGTTTCAGGACGAGGAGGGACAGGGCAAAAAGAGTATCCTGGATATGGACCCAGAGGTCCAGGCCATAATGGAGATGACGGGGAAGACTCTGCACAGTCAGGGCCTCAGGGAGCCGGATCAGGGGCAGTGAACCATGTCCCAAACTGTTCTTTAATGTCAGTGCAGAAGGAGCAATGATGTATGGGTGTGATATAATCATCTCCATTCTCTTCTCATTCAAACTACTGAGGAAAGTAAGCACAGCAAAACTGAAGGTTACACCACTGATAGCCATGTTAAATAACAGTCAAATATAACATGGATCTGTCCTGAACGTGAGCCCATTTGAAGAAAAGTCTAATTGTTAAATGCTGTTTGGCAGAAGGTTTTTGGGAGACAGAATCTGACATGGGCCTGTTGTCAGTTTCATGGTCACCATGTGTTGAATGATAACATCCTTATGATCAGTTGAACTGTCTGAGAAGCTTAGGAGTGACTCAGGGAATGAGTCCACTACCAGAGAAGAAGTTCACTGTTTATCAGTTATTCTTTCATCGCTCCTCAAACTGACCAATAGAGGAATGCCTGTGACATGTGTCATAGTGACAGACTGTGTTGTGTATGCACATGTGATGCTGTGCCTTTTATTTTCTCATTGCAGTGGCTCAGGTTTGAATATCAAGTACAACTAACTGAGGACTTGCAGCAGATCAACATGTGTTATGTTATGAACAAATGCTTGCAATAAAGTGAAGAAGCAGGCCAGTTTATCACAGCTCAGATGTAACACCTATATATTTATTGTTTATTTCTCAAATATATTGATTGAGTATGTCAAAGAAACAGAATAACGTGTGGTGTAAGAGGAAGAGTGGTATCATGGGAGATGTTACATATGATGCAGTCAGCTCCTCCTGGTTAGCATCCCTTCACATGTTCATCCTTTCAAAAGGTTTTATTAGCCGAGGTCTGTCTCCTCTTGTCAAAAACAAACAGACCTGTGGATAAAAAGCGGCAGAGCAGTTTCACGTTGAAGTGTTTTTATCCCGGCACTGGCTGCTGCTAAAGCTAGCTCAACTTGTTTTGCTAAAGACTTCAAACAACCAAGAGATACAAAAAAGTCTAAGAAGAATTCTGGCTCACAATTTGATAACATGGTGACAGCTTCTGGCAGACAATCGCAAGGCTGAGGTTAGCTTAAAGGGGATTGGCTATTACAGGAGACAATATGAAACTGACCTTAGCTTTATTAAAATGTAAGATTTCTCCTGGTTGGAAAATGGTTTGAAACATTTGGTATAATGTGAAAACACAACCCTAAAAAATATATCCAAAACTTCGGTCTAGTGAATTCATATATTTATCTGTTTGCTGACCAATTCAAACTCTAAAATATCTTCAGGACATACTCACATAATGGATCAAATCATGATTATTAACTCTTACTATAATTACAATTGTCGTAATATATAGTGTTTTAATTGGATGTAGGATTTTTTGTGTGTGTCTTTTGAAAACATTGTTTCAGTGAATAAAGGAAACACTGCCCCACTGGCTGGAAGGCAGAGCTGCTGTCTCTGGTGTTTCTCAGCATAGTGAAATGTTTCTTCATCTGATCTTGTCTGACTTTGAGTTGTAAAAGTTAACATGAAAATAAATGAGTGGATCTGAACTAATCCAAACCTGCTCTGAGACTGAAAGGCTGCTCTGTATCTGTTCTGCTAACATGCAAATTACTGAGGCAAGTTCCACATGCAAATGTCTTATATAATCTTACAGAAATTCACACAATGGCACGGTGGACATGGTTTCATGAAGAATGTTTGTTCTTGTCTTAATATTTGTGTATGGAAATCATTTTATTTTATTCCCAGAAATGTGAATACTTTTGGAACTTGGACCACCCCATTGTACAGTACCTGGCATTACAATTCCCACCAATTGTACCTGTCTACCTGGTACCAGTACCTAGTATTGTACTGTACACTATTACACCTTTTCCATCCCAGATACATACAAAGGGTACGGATAGGCTACTTAAGTACAATTCAGAGATAGACTATATTTTAATTACGGCTTACATTTAACCATGATAACCGTAATTCAGAGAAGAATATTTTATTAAAGTTGTTTTGACTTACTACTGTACTGACACAGATCCAGCAGTGTATACACTACAATAAGTGGGGCAAAAAAGTATTTAGTCAGCCACCAATTGTGCAAGTTCTCCCACTTAAAAAGATGAGAGAGGCCTGTAATTTTCATCCTAGGTATACCTCAACTATGAGAGACAAAATGAGAAGGAAAAATCCAGAAAATCACATTGTCTGATCTTTAAAGAATTTATTTACAAATTATGGTGGAAAATAAGTATTTGGTCAATAACAAAAGTTAATCTCAATACTTTGTTATATACCCTTTGTTGGCAATGACAGAGGTCAAACGTTTTCACACACTGTTGCTGGTATTTTGGCCCATCCCTCCATGCAGATCTCCTCTAGAGCAGTGATGTTTTGGGGCTGTCGCTGGGCAACAAGGACTTTCAACTCCCTCCAAAGATTTTCTATGGGGTTGAGATCTGGAGACTGGCTAGGCCACTCCAGGACCTTGAAATGCTTCTTACGAAGCCACTCCTTCGTTGCCCGGGCGGTGTGTTTGGGATCATTGTCATGCTGAAAGACCCAGCCACGTTTCATCTTCAATGCCCTTGCTGATGGAAGGAGGTTGTCACTCAAAATCTCACGATACATGGCCCCATTCATTCTTTCCTTTACACGGATCAGTCGTCCTGGTCCCTTTGCAGAAAAACAGCCCCAAAGCATGATGTTTCCACCCCCATGTTTCACAGTAGGTATGGTGTTCTTTGGATGCAACTCAGCATTTTTTCTCCTCCAAACATGTCTAGTTGAGTTTTTACCAAAAAGTTCTAGTTGGTTTCATCTGACATTCTCCCAATCCTCTTCTGGATCCTCTAAATGCTCTCTAGCAAACTTCAGACGGGCCTGGACATGTACTGGCTTAAGCAGGGGGACACGTCTGGCACT